TTATTGTAGAACGACCTTTATAGTACCGATACAGTATGAGCACAGAAATGTATTTTCGTACCGGCTTCCCTCCCTTTTTCTCGCATTTTCAGGTTAGGATTAGGGTTAGATTAGGTTAAGCTGGAAACACAATAGGCACAGGGAACAGGGAATTACGAAACCGTCCAATGAGAGCTCCGGGATTTAAGTTCGTTACGTAACCTATATTAATACAAACGTACCACTACAAAGGTGCATGAAGTCCATGAGGCAACAAATATGGCACAGGGAATAGGAACAATTTTCCGACGCGTTGGACTTTTATTGCCTGTTGCCTGTTGCTTCTTGACTTGTTTTTTGGGGTTATATTTTCATTTGTGAATTTAGTTCTGGCAAATTTCAGTTTAAATAGTTTAGAAGATATGACATTTAATCACGATTATTGCCAGAAAAGAAAATTTGACGATTCGCTGGAGGATGAAGATGTAGACTTGATACAAAATCAAAAATATGGAGACGAGCTTTTAATAGATTTGATTCGAAGCAGGCCATTTCTTTGTAATAAAACAATTAAAGAATTTCGAGATATTATCATGAAAGAAAATGCATGGGCAGAGATTGCTTCTATTTTAGGAATTTCAGGTATGCACATTACAATTTAACCGAATATATTCTTTAAATAATTTTTCCAATAACTAAGTACATACATTAAATATTATTTTTTAATACACTTTATTAACTTACTCTATTTAATATCAATAAATATATTCTTAATATAAATAAATATAATATAAATAAATATAAATTAATATAAATAAATATTCTTCAAAATTAATGGCACTCGCCGCAAAAATGACGGCGATATCGGCCAGAATCGTAAATAAATCGTGAAATCAAAGTATGATACACCGGTCACCTCAAACCTTTTCAAAAAATGGGTGAGTTAATATCCCAGAACTCTGATTGGATGGCTCGTTATTCCTTATTCCCTGTGCCTATTGCCTGTGCATATTGCCTGTGTCTATTGTGTTTCCAGCTTTATACATTTAGGTTACATATTGAGAAACAGTATTAATTATTAATTTCAATT